TATTCGGTGGTTATAGCAACTGACAAGGCTTTATCACACCATATTCACCTCGGGGCGGGTCATTAACCCTTAAATCAAGTTCACAATCACTTGGTTAACGACAGCCGACATTTGGATGATCGTCTGTCATCTTCACCAGGGTATTTATGACAGATTAACTGTACACTGAAGCTAGGTGTTGATGATAACAATGCGGTCCCAAACGTAAAGTAATAGTGACATAAATGGACATTGTTACAGCATACCGATATATGCGATGCAAAATGTAACGTATTGCCACATACACATTGTTGAAAATATAAGGCCACAGCAAATAATTTTTATGGATGGCATCAGCGCGCGCATTAATTTTCGCCTGCTTTTGAAAAAAAATTGTTTCCCTCTGACAGTGGTCAACATGCCGAAAATGAGCGAGGATGTCTGTTGCCATAGATGGCAGATAAATATGAAGAGGTGAGACAAGACAAGGCTCTGTTTTGTCTTTACTTTGATGAGGTCATGTTTTCTGGCCCGCCTTTTTTTTGCTCTATCGCATTAGATTTGGTGTCTGCGGAGGATGTCATCCATAAAATTTTCTTGCTGTGGCCTAATGTTGAAAAGGAGGAAACTTGGTGGTGAATCTTACCGCTGACTTGGGCTGCCATGGGCAGAGACACTCCTCCCCCTGACGACACCCTGAAGCCGGCCAGCGACACGGTCCTCCCGTCCGGCAGGGCGACTCTCTGCTGCGCGCCGCCCGTCCCCACGATCTGCGCCACCCTGACGCCACCGCGCCTCTGCTCGTCCTGTCCCTGTCCGTTCGACAGACCGACGATGGTGACTCTCTGTCCCGGACGTAACGGCAAGGACTTCCCGGCGCCGACGGCATCTCCTCCGACAAAGGACACCGACTGACCCGGCGTCAGGGTGATCCTCTGCCGGCCGTGCCTTTCTTGTAAGTGGGTTATTTGGCCACCGGTCGAGGCTATAGCAACAGTTTGCCCCGGGCGGCCGACAGAGTACAGCTGCTGTTGACTTCCCGTTGAAGTGTACGCCTGTGCGTCGAACCCGTCACCTCGTCTCCTAGGCGGGACGGGAGCGGCCTGGCCCGGGGTTTGGCCCGTCGCCGTGCCGGCCGCGTGCGTCGGTCTCTGCCCGGCGTCCGGGGATGATGTCCCGGTGTTGCCGCCGCGAGGCGCGATGTGACACGCCACTCCCCGGTACCCGCCCTGGCAGCTACAGCGGTTAGGACGCACACAGATCCCTCCATGTAAACACGTAAACGCACATTTTGCTGCAGAATACAAAGAACAATATTCATTAAGATATTTCTATTTTAGATATTACAACTCTATCACTATCGCTTAGAACGCAAAGTCACTGTGTTAAAAAATGTTGATTTTAAGAATGTCATCACACAATATCCAAATCAACAGTGATATTCCACTTTTTAGGTCAGCTTCAATTCTGAGTGAAAGGTTTATTGTTTCAAAGACAAATAGTGATAGTACATATATAATATAAACACACATGACTTCACTACTCTTCCTGGAGTAGTAGTTACATATACATACATGTAACATACACATAACATCCAAAATTATGACATACACATTACATTAAATTAGATATACACAATATACATATATATATTATTATTATTATTATATTCTTCAATTTACTACCAGTTCTGTATAATCCTGTTTGTATCCGTTTGTTACCTCCGGGGGAGGAGACATCCTTCCGCGGAAGGGTTTTGTGAGAGATTTAGGGTTTTCATGTTCGCAACTGTTTCTCGCGTTTGGGTAGATGGATTCTTTTGAGACTCTGTATATGTTTTGCTATTGGGCTGCAGATGATGCACGTTCTTTTGTTTTTATTGTATATGTGTTTTCGGGCGTGAAAATGGTGCCTTCTGGTGGCCCCAAAACACCCCTTTGAGCGTGAAAGTGGTCGCGACCGTTGACCTTTGGCGTGTTTAAGCTATTCTCGGTCTGGTCCACGTATATGACCCCTCACACAGAGGGGTGTCGGGTCTCGAAAAATTCTTTGTTTAAAACCCTATATAAAAGTATACAATAAAAAGCCCGGAGGTATAAAATCTCAGATTTTACTTGTTTCCGTCTGTCTTTGACGAGTGTTTTGAACGAGGAAGGTACAGATGTTCTGATGTGATATGGAAGAGTTATTGTACGATTTCGAGCACCTATAAAGGAAAGACTTAGTAGCTGCTGATGTTCTTGACTTTGGCAGTTTAAAATCATTCCTTGTTGCAGATATTAGTTCTGGAACAACTGGAACAACTTTGACTTGTCAACACGATCCCTAAATTACTCTAAATTTCGTTCAGTTCTTCTCAAATCAATAAGGCCTGTTAAATTTAAGTACTTTAGTCACGATCCTCGTTATTCTGGTGCTCTTATGGCACGCCTTCGCATTGGCACGTGCAGCCTGAACTACAGTCTCTTTACTCGTGGATTATTGAATAGCCCAGCTTGTACCTGCGGATGCCAATGTGAAACCGTCCCACATTACCTACTCCACTGCCCCATGTAAAACTCCCAACGCTCTACTCTCCTTGGCAAACTATCCAGGCTCATAGGACACACCTTAGATTTTACAACTCTTTCTGACAACGCAAAAACTGCGTGGCGGTACCGCATTCTCATCAGTTGTCAATTTCAATATATTATCACTTACCCAAAACTTTATCACCACATCAGAACGTTTTTAAAAGATTTCAATTTCCCCCTGTGTTTTCTATGTATTGTGTTCTCTCTTTGCCATCATTTATCATTGGGTGGGGAACCGGACTTGCGCTTTTGAATTTCCTGTATATACTGTTTTGCCTGTCTTAAAGTTGCGTTTGTTTTTTTTCTTTATTATATGTTATAATTTAGTGGTGCCGTGAACATAAGTGCTTTCCACTTGAGTGCGGCACCACCAAGTCTTGTACCTTTTTCTATGTGAATGAATAAATAAATAAAAAACAAGAGTTCCACGATCTCATACCTTCGCCAAATAATGTTAACCCTTGCGGGTGATGATTTATACAATTTTACTTTATTTCTTTATTTCAGGCATAAGTCGCCCATACACAACATACATATAAAATACACACACAATAACATCAGTAAAATAATAATATAACTATATGTACAGACGGGCCCAGTTATTGCGAAAGAACCTGCTACGGAATATCACTTCAGATTTAAGAACAGATTGGATAATGTTGTTTGATGACTTGTATAGACGGGATATAAATGAGTAACATTGTTTACGCCATGTAGCATCAAATGTGTCAATCCTATTGTATACAAACATTTCACTTGCACTACAAAATCTGGGTAGTGACATTATGATGCGAAGACAGTTATTGTAAGCAAAAATTTTAATCATTGATTTTGTAAATAAGAGCCTCATTTGCATGGATTATATCAGTTGATCATATTTTTCACCCAATGACAGCCTTCTCTTAACAAAAAGGCTATTATAGCACTTCCACATAAATTATGCAAATTAGGTCATGATTTGAATAAATTATGTTTATTGATGTTCACCTTCACTTAACTTCCAAATGTGGCAAGTATAGATTCGGGGTGCAGCAGTTACAACTATGGAATTATGAGGATTTTCCATTAATTATGCAAATTAGGTCCTCATTTACATAATCTATATCCTCAGATGTTTTTCTCGTTCTCAAGTAGATGCCACAAGTGTTTCATAGTTCTATTATCGAACAAAGCAGATTTATAGAATTTCCTCATTAATTATGCAAATTAGCTCCTGATTTGCATAATTGCCATATGCTTATGTCAAGCATCACTTCAACTACCTACATACCAAAAATCACGACAATACGTCAACCTGTTCTTGAGTTATCGTCCTTCAAATTTTTTTCAACAAATGCCCCTGCAGTTCTAGAACAAGGCGCTAGGGGACCCAAACTCATGTCACTTCTTCCCTATCCCAAGAGCTATCTACCAACCAAAATTCGTGACCCTAGCATGTCCAGAACATGAAATATCAAAACCGGAAGTTCAGCTGCAGTACCTAGGAAAGCCGCCAGGGGGCCCAAAATCTAATCATTTCTAGGTCTCATGAAGACCTACCCACCTACCAAGTTTCATTCCAATCCATCCACTGCTTCTCGAGTTATCTT